CCTCATCTGAGGATGAAGGTAGCGTCTCTTTCCTGCTGCAGAGGAAGATGCTGGGTTGTGATGTGCTCCTTGCCTGTGTTTGTGCATGCCCACTGTGTACAGCAGCTAAGCTTGCTCACCACTTGGGAAGTGTGTGAGTGAGTGGTCTATAGAATTCAAGCCGATATGAAACACATTGAAGCTGAGAATGGAGGCACACAACTGTAATCTCAGCACCAAGGAGATTTACCCAGCACCCAGCATCCTTTATTTCTCTCCTTCTCCATCAGGACAGTAGCTGTACTTCTGCTCAGCCGGAAACAGTAGGGCTTTGCCCTCATCCTGCATCCCGAAAGCTCAGGGATGCTGCACACACACCCACTCGGCTTCCTTGAACCACAATCAGTTCAGTGCTGATCTCAAGAAGCTGTGGGGACCCACAAGCACCACTGACTGGAAGGAAGAGGGGTTTCCCATATGTTCGTGCAAAACCTCATTTCTGCCCAAATGAGGGCGTTTAATCAGAAGCCCTTCCTCTCTGTGGCTCCCAAATCTCAGAACTTCCTGCAAATAAAACTCAGGGGTGAGGGTGGGAAGCAAGACAGGGAGGGTTCTGGGAATGTGTGAAAACCCTTCAAGTAGGTAACTACCCCCCCTCCAGTGTTAGAAAGTCAAATTACCCCCAGAGATCTAGCAGGGTGGATGTTGGGGTATCCCTTACAAGAGCAGGAAGGGGGATGATTAAATAGTGGTATCATTGAGAAGTGCATCATGGAACCCCACCTTTGGTTAACCCTTGCCTCTCATATACAGCAGCACCTCTCAAGAGCATGTGCAGACAGAGGTGGGGGCAGGAGGGAGCAGTGCTGAACTCCAGGTGGCTGTCCTGGGATGCTTTCCCTTCCTGTGGAGTGTTAATAGGCTCCTTACCACAGACCTAGGGTTCCTGCCTTGTTTTGTTCATTTCTACTCCATGATGGTCACAGGATGGTCACTTACATCGCCGATGATGGTTGTTCAGGTCTGAAGTTCTGTTTCAGGCCTCTTGGGCCCTAGTGGAGCATGGGTGTGAGAGGAGAGTGTGTGTGTGCATGTGTGTGTGCATGCATGCATGGGCTGGTATGTTCATGTGTCTGCGAGCATGCATGTATGTATATATCTGTGTGTGCACGTGTCTGTGTGCGTGCGTGCTTGCATGTGTGCACTGGTGTGTGCACGTGTGTGTGTCTGTGTGTCTCTCTCTCTGTATATACCAACATGCATTCATGCATGTGTGTGTGTGTGCGTGTGTGTGCGTGTGTGTGTGTGTATGATCCCAGGGCCCCTCCCAATTTGGTCTTTATATTGGCTTTCTGGCATGAGCAACTCTCTGCCCTTGCCAGCCACAGATGGCCTGAATCGGCCCCGTTTGACTTCTGTGGGTGGGGCGCTGGGCCCACCCTTCATTCCAGGGCCTTCTTTCCTGGCTCTGAAACGATCCTGAGCACACTGTTCCATGCAGCTCCTCAAAGCCCAGTGTTGGATTACAGTGCCAGCACAGCGGTGCCTCCCTCCGTCTCCTATGGCATTGGTATGTTGCTAGGTGCCGTGGCTGTGGCTGCTCACCAGTCCCAGACCCTCAGTGGTGTGGCAGGAAACTATAGTCAAGGATGTGTGGCAGAGACCTAACCCTCTGGGGAAGGATGCTCTCAGGAGAATGGGTCCCCTTTGTCTGTGTCTTGCGTGTTCAGGGCTGACTCTCATGCTTCATTTGGCCCTGATGCAGTGGGCAGAGAAAGCAGAGACAACTACAGTGTGGGCTTTGGAGCTAGCTACCCAGGGTGATGTGGGATACTAGTTTCTCCTTCTCATCTTCCATTTCTGTAGCAGTGGGTGAAAATCCCCATTGCAGCTCTCTATACACAGCCTCGCGGAAGAAAGCTAATGCATGCAAGTCTTCAGCTCAGCATCATGGACCCTCTTCAGCCAACAGAAAGGCCGTCTGCTCTGTTGGCCAAAGAGCCAGGTTTAGGCAGTCTCTGACCATTGGAAGTTTCTGGCCTCAGATGGTGAGGGCTTTTGCATTCCTCTCTGTAATCCCAGAAAGTCCTGTGCTCCCAGGAGCAAGCAACAGGCAGGAGAGCTGCCTTCCTCTTCATCCTCTATTCTCCCTTGATTAAGGCTCAGGAGAGAGGACTCAGGTGAGACCTGGGCAACCGCTAACCTATTTGGGCTGCTCTTGGTCTTAGATGGGGCACAACCCCAGGAAAGCCCCAGAGGGAGACTTCTCAGCCCCAGGAGACCTCCAGATGGCAGCACACGTTAAAGCTTAGCCCAAGCCTTTAGGAGAACCAGCATGTGGGTGTCAGGCTGAGAGGGCACCATCAAAGATCTCCACAGAGGGCTGAGGAGGAGGCTGCCTGTGGTTTTGAGCCACAGGAAGACTCCAGGGAGAGTTAGAGAAGAGTGAAATCCCTCATTGGAAGGATTGAGGCAGAGATGTGGAGAAGGTAAATAGAAAAAAAGATGGGGGAAAGTCTTAAACCCGGGTTGGCAATTAGTATTTTTAAGGAATCCTCCTGTGGGAGGTTTTCTTTTAAATGTTTTTAAGAGATTTGTTTTATTATTTTCTGTGTGTAAGTGTTTTTTTGCCTGCGTGTACGTATGTGTACCACATGTGTCCCTGGAGCCCATGGAGGTCAGAAGAGGGCACCAGATTCCCCATGGAACTGGAGTTACAGACGGTTGCGAGCCACCACATAGGAGTTGGAAACCCAAACTAGGTCCTCTATAAGAGCACTAGTATCCACCTCTTCAGCACAGAGCTTTATTTAAAATTGAAGGGGTTTTAAGAGTTGGGAGTCCTCCCTTTTGGTTCTGCTGGAGTCTTGGGCATTGTGTGCACTGAGAGTGAAGCACAGCAGCCTTACATCCAACAGGAGCAAAGCCATCACAGTGCCAGACCAGAGGACTTCCCAGGCACCAGACGAGCAGCCTGAGCTCATCAGGCAAAGCAGCGGGACTGGATGCACACGCGAGGCTGTGTGTCACTTCTTAACACACTGTCTCCCCAGCCCCTGAGCCCCAACCTTCACTCTGCAGTCTGTCATCTCAACTCCTCTTGGGACCTCCCACTTCTGGATGTAGTGGTTGTTCTAAATTATCAATTCCTCTTACCCCCTGAGATGGTTTGTATATTCTTGGCCCAGGGAGTGGCAGTATTAGAAGGTGTGGCCCTGTTGGAGTAGGTGTGGCCTTGCTGGAGGAAGTGTGTCACTGTGACTGTGGGCTTTAAGACCCTCATCCTAGCTGCCTAGAAGCCAGTCTTCCACTAGTCAACTTCAGAAGAAGATACAGAACTCTCAGCTCTGCCTGCACCATGCCTGCCTGGATGCTGCCATGTTCCCACCTTGATGACAATGGACTGAACCTCTGAACCTGTAAGCCAGCCCAATTAAATCCTGTCCTTATAAGAGTTGCCTTAGTCATGGTGTCTGTTCACAGCAGTAAAACCCTAACTAAGACACCTCCACTTTCTCAGGTTCCTTTGTTACCAGACACAGAGGTACAGTGCTGAGCTTTGGTGTTCCCATTTGTCACTACTAGTGCCATTAGCTGAGTGACGATTCTCTTCTCCACCGACAGGGAAGGTCCTTGGCAACCAAGATACACCTGTTACCCAGGACCTAAGATGAGTGTGTGTGACCCTCAAAAGATGCCTGTGCACATGAGGAATGAGTGGGCTTTTTTTTGAAAAGGGGATTTATTTTAATTGTGTGCATGTTTGTAGGGGTATATATATGTGCCCACTGAGGACAGAAGAGGGCACGGGCCCCCTGGAGCTGCAGTTATGGGTGGTTGTGAACTGCAGGACATGGGTGCTGGGAGCCTAACTTGGGTTCTTTGCAAGAGCAGCACGCCCTTCTCAGCAGAGCCATTTACCCATCCCCCAGGTGATCAATTTTAACTGACTGATATAATACCTATCTTCCTCTAGACTCAAAGCTATGTAAAGAGGCTTCCCACCTCATCCATCACTCTAGTCCCAGAATTGACTGGTGCTGGTGCTATGCTTAACACTCTCTCTCTCTCTCTCTCTCTCTCTCTCTCTCTCTCTCTCTGTGTGTGTGTGTGTGTGTGTGTGTGTGTGTGTCTGTGTGTATTGTATCCATGAAGTAGAATGGGCTCCACTGGATGGACTGAGCTGCCTCAGCAGAGCAGGGTGTGGATGGAAGGAACTGTCCCATTCTCCAGGGAAACGGGTTGCCTTCAGGAAAGACCCGAGTGAAGGATGGATGAAGGATCGTGGATATCCTAGAAGACATGATGACAAGTACGTAACACTGTACAGAACTTTACAGAATATGTCTTACCTCACCCTGGTATCCACAAACACCCAGGAAGCAAGCCACCACTTGTTACATAGAAGGCCTTTGACATTAACTCACTACCACGGTCACACAGCACTGACCGCAGAGTGCTGAGTACAGTCTAAACGCCATAGGTTGAGGGAACAGGACAGAGATTTTGCATATGGCTTGGCCTAGGAAGCAAAGCCTGGGAAGACTAGCTTTCTTGACAGGCGTTGGTCTCTGGGAGCCCAGAGATGGACCCCAGCCTCAGTTTGGCTTTTGTTTGTTTGTTTGGTTGGTTGGTTGGTTGTTGTTGTTACCAATATTCTCCCTTCCTTGAATGTCCCTCTCATCCCTTGACAGTCTGTGTTGGCAAGACTAAGACTAACCCAAGATGGAGTCTCATCCTGGAAGGAAGGAGTTTCAGGGTAATAAGAGGGTACAGTGTTGGGTGATGTGAAAACCGAGGACTCGGGACTAGGTGAAAACATGTCCGACCAGGGCTTAGGTTCACACCGTCCGTCATAAGTTGTGTGAGCATCGAAGGTCCACTTGCTGGAACTATTCCAAATAATACCCCTTCAGGGGTGCTTGCTGAACGGCTCTCGGGAAAACTTTGGGGATAAATCAGCTTGCAGGCAAGCACCAAGGAGCAGAACCCATCCCCAGTTCACAGCGAGCACGCGGGCATTTGTTTCTTTGGTTTTATTATTACAAATGCACCTTGGCTCCAGCACACTCGGGGAATCTGGATTCTACATGTTCTTCATACCCTTTCCTTTCTCCCTGGGCAGGGTCATATAGAAGCATCCAAACCATGTGTGGATACAAGACATATTTGACAGAGACAGTTCAACTCGTAGCTTATAGTGATGCCATTTCTCCAGCGGTACCAGAGCTTTACAGAACCGTGCCAGAGCTTTCCAGAATGCCGGACTGCTTGATTCACATTTGTAACCTCCAACATGCCGTAGCTCCCTTTTTCAGGGCCCTTGAAAAGTCGGGGAATTCCATGCTTTGGAGAGGTCCTTTCTGGAAGTCAGTTTATGACGGCCAGATCTGTGTACTCAGTGGGTTAACAGCCACATTTGGAGGGATCAAAAGCTAAAAAGAACCTTTCTCCCCTTAACCCTTTCCCTACCCGTCCAAGGCTCAGATCTCAATATGGTGCAGCCCATGTATGTTGAAGTGTGATATTTGATTTCAAAAACATTCAATGGTCTCTCTGGCAAACTGAGAGAAACTGGCAGGAAGCTGCTGCAGGGCGCTCTTCCCTGGTCCTTCCTGCTAATGCTTCATCCTCTCCAGTAACCGCTGATAGACAGGGGCTGAAAAATGAGACGCATGAAAGATGGTGAGGTGCAGGGGTCCCATTGTCCGTCTGGGATGCTTACTTAGTCTTTTTGTCTTGGTACTAGGGAAATGAACCCAGAGCAGCGTGCATGCCAGGTCAAGGCAATAGCCACGCCCCTTTTCCACTTCTTATTTATGAGGTCTCACTAGATTGATCAGCTTTGAACACATCCCGTAGCCTATCTAGGCCTCCAACTTGCAATCCTCCTGCCTCTGATCCCCAACGAGTTGGGATTGTGTACCCTCAGGCCCAGCTTCAGAACCTCATGGACAGAAGCCACGTGGCCTGCCCCTGCCATGTTCTCCTGCTCATGGACACAGCAGGGGCTTTTGAGGCTTGTACAATTCCTCATCTTACAGCTTGGCGTGATATCCTCAGTGTGGGTGCGTGCCAAGCCCTGTGCAGTCTTCCCAGGCTCCCTGAGCCCAAAGTCACACCCACCCTGAGTAGAGTAGGCTGTTACTCTACTATTTCCATGTTACAGAAAGGGAAACCAGATTTTCTGTGTCTGACCTCCAGTTTACCCTGCTACTCTGACCTGGAGGCCAGGCTTGTTTTACTGTGCGCCATGTTTTGATCTGTACACAACAGATTTCAGGCTCGGGGACGGATGGGGACTCACTAACCCTGATGGGACTGTAAAACCCTGAGACACTTACCAAGTCGCACAGACCTCTGGGCAGCCTAAGGAACAAAAAACACAAAAACAGGTCAGGATTTCTTTTGTTTTTCTTCCCTCCTCCTCTGTCTCTCCCTTTCTCCTTCCCTTCCCCCTGGCTTGTCTGGAACTTGACATGAAGACCAAGCTGGTCTGAAACTTGTGGCAGTCATCCCAAGTGGGACTGTAGGTGTGTTATGCCTGCCTGAGGTGTCAGGTTTCTTAGTACATACATATTGTCCCAGAACCTGCATATGGAAGGGCTTTGCACTTTACCACACCCACTTAAAACAAATGCTGAGGTGGAGGAGAGAAGGGGGAAAACTTGAACCCACAGGCTCCTAAGAGTGGCCCTTGGCTGTACAAGCTCCCTTTCAAATGAGGACTTATGTAAAATGTAGATATCCCTGGGGGACCCTAAGCTAAGCTTCTCCACTGAGACCAGAGCTTAGAGCTGGGTGTCAGTTGAAGTGTCTCCCAAGAGTGTGAGTTCAGCTATTCTGGAGGAGATCTCTGTTCAAAAGCGGATTGCCTGTGTTAGCTCTCTGGCCTCAGGGGTCAGGACTCTACCCTGGAACCACTTCTCCAGAAATCAAAGCTCTAGTAAGTTCTAACAGGAAGTAACCACACATTGCAGAAGATAGGTTAGCCTTGGGAAATGGAAGGCTAATTCAAACAGACAGGAAAGCCAGGTGGCTACAGCATGGACTCAGGGAGCTGCCCCCATTGGCAAGGTGGATCCCAGGGCTACTTTCCTCAGCTGTGGCTCACTGGTGGTGGTGGTGGTGGGGGACACGTACCCTGGAATATGCTGATGCCTGTTTGAAGATTTCCAGGGCAGAGTCCGCCAGCTCATCTCCTCGTTCTTGTGGTCGGTTGGCTAGAGAGAAAGGAAAACACAGGGTCTGCCATCAGCATCTCAATGGACACACAGCCATGCACTGTCTGCTACCCCCAAGTGTCCCCAAGTATACACATACCATCTAGGCCTTTTCTGCCACCAACATCCACACAAATATTTGTACTTGGTAATGTCAGAGTTGGGGTAAGACAGCAGGCAACTCAGTAAGAAGTACACCTCAAGTTCTGTAGCGTATCATCTTAAAACCACAGTTCCTGATTTCACTTTTCAGTCAGCGATTGGGAGTCACACTCATGGGCACCATTCGGTTAGGACCACACAGTAGGACCTCACCTGGCGGCTGCAGAACAGTGTTGATGGCATAGACCACACCATTTGTGGCCATGATGTCGGTTTCGGCAACAGGTTCCTTATTGACACTCACTGCGTTGTTTTTCTAAGAGAAGAGACAACCGTTGTTAAATGCGGAACCCATGGCTCCATTTGCTCAGCGGGCATCCGCTGACCATGCACCCATTCGGGGAGAAAGTGGCAGGGCTTCTCCAGTGAGCAGCTGCCCTTGCCCTCCACAGACTTCTCCTGCCTCACATAGGCTCAGCACAGTGGACTTAGCAGGATTCTTACCCCCACCGCAATGGGCGGCAAGGAGGGAGAGTACAAAAATAGGAGCTGAGGGACAAGAGAGGCCACACAACCCCTTGAAGCTACACACAGGTGGGAAGGAGCCCTCAGGTGAATGCTTTCTTGAACAGCCCGTGTGCCTGTGACAGACAGTATCTCCATACCTGAAACACAGTCCTGAGAGACCTTCAATAACCTTAAGTTAAACAGATCTCTCCCAGTCTTCCTCCCATATGTCTTCCCACACTCCCCTGGGTGAGCAGGGGACACCAAAGACACAAAGAGACAGAAACAGAGAGGCCCAGCCCACTCCTATCCACAGGGGGCCCTGCTGAGTCAGTCTGGCTCTTTCTAGGTAGGACCGCTCTGAACAGAGCTCTAAAGCTGAGTGTCACCCAGTGAGACATGCTTCCAGAGCAGCGTCAGCATGAGAGGACCTCTCTAGTCAGCATGGGAGGACCTCTTTTAAGTCAGCATGGGAGGACCTCTTAAGTTAGCATGGAAGGACCTCTCAAGTCAGCATGGGAGGACCTCCTAAGTCAGCATGGGAGGACCTCTCAAGTCAGCATGGGAGGATCTCTCAAGTCAGCATGGGAGGACCTTCTAAGTCAGCATGGGAAGACCTCTTAAGATGCAGCACACGCAACAGCTCAGTGAGTGCCTGAGTTTGGGACTGAAGCTGGGGGACAAGATAAGGGACTGCTCCCTGGAGATGAGTAACTACTTCCCACTTTCTAAAGGGCTTCTACACGATCCATATCACTCACCGAGCTGACTTCCAGTTTGTCCCCTTGGAGAGACTTCAGCCGCACCAGAGCCCCAATGCCTCCGCTAACCAGGATTTCATCACCAATGTGATACTTCAAGATGTTGGTAAGTTCCTTGGCGTTTGCTGTAAGATTGTAGAAGGAGGAGACGCTGTTAAGCACAAGAGCGGTACTGGTGAGGTTATAGAACAAGAGAAGACACCCGTGGTTTCTCCAGAACAGGATGACTCGCTGAAACAAGCAGAAGCGCTCACAAGTACCTACTGTGTATACAGCCTAGGACCTACCAGACGACCAGAGCTGTGACATGGCCCTGTAGCCAGCAGGTGGGTGGGTTAAGCAGGGCTCTGTGGTGGCTAAGAAGGAGTTAATCCATACTCCTCTCAGCGTATGAGTCATGTTTCCATGAGCTAAATGTTTGCCTGGAAAGCCGGGGACCTTTCCAGCATCAGCATCTGGGACCCTTCAGCGTTTGACGTGACTCCTGCCGACTATAACACAGCAGTAAAATATTTATACGTTATGCCCTCAAGTGCATTTTCAGCTGGAGATAGCTATTTCCTTGAGGGAGAACTTGAAAGATTGAGCAGCTGTGCTTTGGAAGAGCCGTGGAGCCGATGAGGTCAGGGCTGAGGCAGTTCCCCACGCAGAGCCCCTCCTCCACACACCTTCCTGTATGCACACCACAACGTTCCTTCCAGTCCACATCCATTTCTCTGCCAACTGGGGCAAGCATCAATGCCTTTCCTGAGTTACATGAGAGGCGGTACCTAAACCTGCCAGCTACCCCCTGGTTTCTGATCCTTCCTGAGCCAGCCAAAAGCTTATTTCCCCAGGGCTTAAGTGCTATTCCCAAGACCATGAAACTCGGAGGAAAATTGAAAGCACGTTAGAGAGTCCATCTGGTTATCGACACATCTATAGAGAGTTAAGGGACAGAGGCACTGATACTAAGGAACTTCCTGGCATCTACACGGAAGCTGGTAAGAGATCTCTTCCCTCAAAAATATGGCCCAGAGCATGGTGCAAAGAGAAGCCAATCCCCTGGGTCCAGGGCCTCCTGTCCAGGTCTTCAACATCAGGATTATCCTTCCTCCCCCAGGTGCCATTTTGTCTATCCATGGGGACTTTGGGCTGTTTGGGTAACTTTCTCCATACCCCTCCTCCACTCTCACACAACTGAAAAGGAGGGAATCTGAGCAGGCACAAGCCACCTGGGGAATATTCTATTCTTACAGGGCTGAGAGAGGAAGGGAAGTTTATGCTCAGCGTGAACTTCTCCCCTCTTCTCAGGAACCTGCGTCAGCACCACAGACACAGGCATTTGCTTGGCAATAAAGAAAATTAAACAGGACACAAATTTAGCTCCTTGCTGACTGCAACCTGAGCTTTCTATTCTGCTGGAAAGGATGCATAAACCATGTTTGCTTCAAGGCTGGCTACACCGCTTCCTCCACGCTGCTCCTTTCTTCCTCCCCTAGCTCGCCCTTCTGGGAGGGTGCACACACATCAGAGCTAAAGCCCATCCCCCACCCCACTCCACTGTCATTACCACTATTGAGGGAGCATGTGTGTGTTTTGTCCTGTGTGAACATTCTATTTGCATCGCAGTGAGCCAGAGACTCTCGCCGACCTCATTTTTTTTAAATGGGGAAACTGAGGCCCAGCAGCTCAACCAGAGCTCACTCACATTCTTAGCCACTACCATCAGCTAAGTTCCCCAGGGAAGGCTTATTATTTTAAGTCTCTGAGGCCATTTAATGCAAATGAGTGGTTTCATTATCACAGATCCCCAGTGGAAAGCACACCACAGGGACTGGCCTGATTGCCACTGGCCTGATTTCTATTTGCCTGGCACCGTGCCCAAGGAATCACCTCTGCCCTCTTAGAGCCAGGTGAAAGTCAACTGGGCCAAGGAAGGAAGGAAGGAAGGAAGGAAGGAAGGAAGGAAGGAAGGAAGGAAGGAAGGTAGGTAGGTTATGATACTCAGGGCCCCCTTTGCCATGGACCTACTATGACTGTAAATGGCTCTGGCTGTTTTCTGTGTCCTTGGTCCAAAATATCCCTGGTTCCTGCCCTCACTCCACCCCATTTTCTGCCGTTGTCACCATTTGCTGTCCCCTTAATCCAGCCCACACGTCTACAGTACGGCCTCGACCCCAAGTCCCTTTGTAAGACATCACATCGTCTCCTGCGACGGCCTGGAGAGACTGCTTTTTCAGAACAGTGGGGATATCTGCTCAACTTGCTCTTTACCCAAGAGTTTGTTCAGTTCTTCTGGAGGCATGGCTTGGAAGGCTTCATTTGTGGGAGCAAACACAGTATAGACCCCTTCCCGGTTGAGGGTCTCCATCAGTCCTGCAGACTGGATAGCGGCCACCAGCATGCTGTAGACAAACACAAAGAAAATGACAGTTTGCTCTCCATGCCCTCTCCACACAGAAGGAAGGTCTGTTGTCATCTCTTCGCTGGGCATGAATGGCATATGCAGGACAAATGGCCAGAGGGGATGAAGGGAGAGAAAAGGTGAGAATTGGGTATGGTCGATCCAGAGACTGGCGGAGTCAGTGCCTGCAGAGCACGAGATCCTGGGAGGCAGAGGTCCAACCTCCCAGTCCATGGGTGTCAGTGCTAGGGAAACACTTGGCTTGACAGCACTCACTGGAGAACTAGCAAGCGGGAAGTAGAGGGATCAGGGTAAGAAAGCAAAGTGACCTTGTGACTTCAGTTGATTCAGAAAGACAAAGACATGGTGAGTCCTTAGAGCCTCTTAGCTCCCTGGGGACTTTCTGCTGTGAGCGATATCCTTGTGTTTTAGTGGATTATGATGCTTCCTCCCCCTTCCCATGGGTGTAAGGATTGTATCACTAGCAGGAGACCTGCTTCCTAACTTAAGGCATCAAGGACCCCCCTCATCCTCTCCATACCCAACCACGGATGGTCACATCAGTGTGTCACTAGCATTAGGGCATTAGGTCACCTCCTGGGAAGTAGGATAAAACAGCTGAGGTCCAGCATGACTACCTGGCAGAAGCTTGGCCCCGGGGTAAGATTGGTTACCTAAAACGATTGTCCCCCTTTAGGACATCCATAACAGTCCCCATTGGGGGTGTCAGCATCCGGTCCATGGTGAACAGGGTCCCATACCGTCCCTTCTTGTCATGAGCAGCAATGCAGCTGTTTTCAATGCACAGGCTCTGCACAAAAGAGGGACAAAGAAAGAGAGATGGTTATCCCCTCAGGCAGGGGTCTCCAGACTTGTTTGGAGCCAGTGGTGATGACATCACACACAGAGGTTTCCTCAGGGTAGGCAGAGGGGCTCTGATAAAATTACACAGGGGCTCTGTGTTGAGGTCAGCATCACAAGAGGTTCATTGACAGAGTTCCAATAGACAGACTAGAAACAGTTGGCTGGTTGATTTAACCCACGAGTGGTTAATTGTATCAGCCACAGGACATCTTTGGCCAGATGGTCCTGTTTAGTCACAGACCAAAAGCAATACCATGTTGACCATCCTATTTGATATGGGAAGGTCTTGGACCAAGGAGAGCTAAGCTTCACAGGGGCAAGCCTAGAAAGACTCCACATTTCTGCCCCACTCCCCCTGTTCATCCTGCTGAGTCCCAGGCAGCCTCTCTGCTCAGCAACTGAGTTAAGGCTGGGCCTTAGTCTCCAACCTGCAGGAAAGGAAGTGTCACCCGGCACCCTGCATACTCTCCAGAAACTGCTTCCCCTTTATTGAAAGCCAGTTCTTACATAAGCTCCTGGCTCTTGAGGACTTTTTTTTTTTTTTAACAACACACGCCAAAGATGGGGTGTGAATCAGGACCTAAAAACTTACATTTCGATAAACAAAGACTCTCAGTTTTTTGCCACCCAGCGTGTCCAGTGTCTGTCCAGAGTACAAATTCTTGGAGGCCAACTGTTCTTTGACCATGTGGTTCAGAAGCAAAGTCTTCATTTGGGCATCGATTCGAGGGACACCATCTGCAAGCAAAGGAATGGACAGATCCAGAGAGCTAGGCTCCTGAGATAAGGCGTGTGATGAGAGACACACGTGGAAGGGCGCTCATCCCTCCGTGGTTTGGAAATGAAGACAGAAAGTAAGGGTGGCTGTCAAAATCCCTTAACACTCAGCATGTGTTAGAGAAAAAAAAGTATGCACAGCTATTGAGCAGGCTTGTCATTTTGCCCTCAGAGGAAAGAGTCTTTCTCGCTGTCCCCATGACAGCACCTCAGCTGACCCCTGCCCATATACACCAGTGTTGACCCTGCAAACAAAAAGCCAAGACCTGCTCCACTCTCCTGGCAGAGGCAAAGTATTGAGCTCTGAAGTAAAGATCCCCCAGTACACTCTTGGCTGTTTCAGATAAACAACGGGGTAGTCCAAAGTTTCTGATAGAATCACATCTGCTTTGGACTATGGTAGGCGGAAGGTTCCAAGGCTGTTGTAAATCAGGGCAGGGCTGTACAGTTGGGGCAGCTGTCCCAGAGGCAACAGAACAGCAGGGTGCTTTCTCCATGTTACCTTTGAACACAGAATTCAGAGGGGCCAGGAAGGTCAACTGTTCTTTTCCAGAGAGATGCGAGCTGAGGCCAGCTTGTCTGAGGAGGTCAACAGCAGTGGAGACATCAGATTCCGCAGCCAGCTCAAGCAGTGTCTTGGCTACAGGAAGAAGAAATAGAGTTCAGAAGGTAATGAGCAGTGTGAGTATATCATGGTCCAGAGTGGGATGGACATCTGCACAAACTTCATCTTGTTAGTCACCAGCCTTCTAAACACAAAAGGAGCCAAGCATGTCCCTGTCATCAGAAAACCTAACCTGCAGGGAGGTAGGTGACAGTCACTTGGCTGTTGGAAGCACTGTCCTCTGGCCTCAGGGTGGCTTGTCCAGGACCTGTTTGACTCTGGGGAGGAGGCAGCATGGCCTGTGTGGATGTTTCTGAAGATACTTCCATATGAAGAGATTGTTCTCTTTCCTGGGAGATTCCTACTCTCAGGCTGAATGGAAACTAAAGTCCATCCTGTCATCTTTCCTGGGTTGGTGGCCTTGGGTGGCCTAAGGAAAGCAAATGCTCTGACATCAGCAATGGCTCTTTGTGTCCAACCACAGCATGAAAAACCGGAAAGGGCTCTAAGATGATGTTTCCTGATTACCTCAAGACAGAGACCCGTGCCTAGACCCTCTATTGGAAATGTAAGACTTCACATCCTTCGGGTTCACAGAAGGCACAGGGCTGTGTGCCACACCAAGGACAGGAAGTGGCCCAAAAGATTGCTGAATACCGTTGGCCCTGTCACCGGGGTTCCAGAAGGGAGAGGAAGCTGGGAAGGATAGAGGTCCCTCTAGGTCAACCTACCTGAATCTGGGATAAGCAGCTCATCAATAAAATGAATGACACCGTTGGTGGCCAGGATGTCTTTGTTAGAGATGACCGCCTTCCCGTTGATGGTGAGCATGTCCCCACTGCAGCCCACCTCCAGCGTGGTACCCTCCAGGGTCTCCATGGACATTCCAGCAACGATGGCCTCAGCACACATGGCTGACTTCAGGATATGGTTGTTTAGAAGGTCTGTGGCAAAAGAGGATACAGGTCTAGAGCCTGCTGTGGTCTGACACAGGGGACAGACACATGGACAGCCCCCAGTCTGCTCATGGCTGAGAATTTTGCTGGAGTACCACAGGACCCACGTCCCCATCTCTTGCCTACCATCACCTAAAACCATTGGGACTCTGTGGTCAGACTGCCCGAGTTTGAACCCCATGACTGCTGACCAACTGTGGGATCCTGGGCCAGCCGCTTAGCCTCCTTGACTGGAAATGCAAACCTCTCCTCAACAGAGACACTCTAGCCATTAGCTCATGACTGGGCTTCAGAGTGAATTCTCCTAATAGGTCAAGGAGAAGGAGAAATCTCCAGTAGACCCACTGTGGGTCTTTGAAGTCTTAGGCCTTTGTAAGACACGGAATGAAGCAGGAAATAATATAAATTACCCTGAAGGATAGCTGTACAATCCTTTTTGCTCAAAGCAGGAGCCTGCCCTGTGCTGCCATAGCTACAGACTTGAAGGGAGAAGGTTGAGGTCTCTCCATCAAACACACTTAGATGTCTTGTTGGATCTGTCTCAGGGCCTGAGTGAACGCTGCTCTCTCGTGTGTCTGGGGGCTACTGTGGAGGTGTGTACTGGGGCACTCAGAAGCTGAAGCCTCCCCACCACACCCTAGCAGGTTCTCAGGTATTTGTGACCTCTGTACAGAGGAAAGAGCAAGGTCCAGTCAAGGACACGCCCCCGCCCCCACCCTGAGCTCACAGGTTCTCAGACTGCTGCTCTCAGACGTCGACAAGGTCCTTTGTCTCAGCTTCACCATATCATTGAGTGTGGGAACCAAAACTGCCCTGTCACCATTAGGAGGAAGCTCTGAGGCTGGCAGAGGCCTCAGGATGCTGGAAAGACTCTAAAAGCCAGTACTGACCTAACTCAGTCAGTAGAGGATGAGTAGACCATGGAGCAAGCATGGTGGTATGCTTGTAATCCCAGCACTCAGAGGCAAAATGTCCTTGAATTTGAGGCTAGCCTGGACTACATAGTGTGCTCTGTCTTAAAACAACAAGATGACCTGATAGGAATGAGGCCTTTGGGGGATCTTGCTTCTTAGAGAAAATAAACTGAACTCCTAGGGTGTATTGGGGCGAGAAGGACAGGACCTGAATCCAGGCTTCGAATGAGATATGGCAGCCCAGGGCTGCTTCCTGTCTGTCTGCCGACCACCTAGAGACAAAACAGGGCACTGTTGGTATAGACCCCAACAGGCTTCCTTCAGGACGGACGGTCGCTATAGCAGCAGAAGGTGCTCTCCTGCTGTGAGCAAACTGGTCACTGCTTAGAAGAAGCAGATAATCAAACGGCCTTCTCGTAATGAGTTCTGATATCAATGAATATAAAAAATGGGCCCTGTACAAAAGGTCTTTTAATGCATGTTGTAGTTTGGATGTTGTATGTTAAAGGCTTGGCCCCAAGGTGGGGCTATTGGGAGGTGGTGACAGTGTTAAAAGGTAGAACCGGTGTGAGGCCTTCACGTCATTTAGTGTCCAATTCCCCCCAAGCCACAGGTTTGAAAGCCATGGGGCCAAGAGATACCACGTCTAAGGTGATCATGAAATAACATGTCTGAGACCGTGAGCCAAAAGAAAACTTTTCTCTTCCTAATCTGGTTATCTCCGGCACATGTGCTGGGATGCAGCCCACACCTCTTCCAGGAAGCTTCCTAGCCCTTGAGGCTACGAACCCCAACCCTGCCCACCTCATCACTGACCCCACTGGATCATCTCAACTGCCTGTTTGAAGCCTGCTGCCCACCAGGCTCTAACTTCCTCAAGACACACTGGGCCCCGGCTCCCAGCCTGGAACAGGCATTTTTGAAGGACCTTTCTTGTCTAGGCAAATATGCCGTCTGTGCTTTCTGAAGTGTCTCTTTCTTCCCATGTCTGGGAAAGGTCTCTGTAACCCATCAGGCATCTTACATGGCGCACTGCCAATGTAGGTTTAAATGAAGTCACACCTAGTCACACCTAGAGGAAGAATGTAAGTGGGGTGCACTCTACAGGGTCTAGGGGTTCATTAGGCAGCTGGTACTAGCAATCCTTCAGAAGTCCTAGAATTAAAGAGGGTGAGGTGAAAGAAAGATGGGCCCCCCTCCTAATCTACCTTCCAGGCTTAACTTAGGAGCTGAGGTGAAAGACGGAACCAGCAATGGAAATCAACTGACCATTGATTCCTATTTTTTTGGTTAGCCATGAGGCCTCTGGCCAGACATAGGAAGATATAAAAGGTCACCAGAAAGATTTCTCTTGAAGGACGCCATCACCAGCCACCCACTGATTCATCTAAGCTCTTTAAGCATCCTACATCCATCTGACCGTTTTGGCCACTCCAGTCTTGTTTCCTTAATTTGACCAGGGTCAGCTGGGAACTCCTAATACTGGCTCTGCTTGGCTTCTACAGAGAGATGGCCATTGGGTGTAACACAAACCAGGGTCGTAGTGGACATTGTGGCATTAGCGTAGGCCAGTGCTCACGTGGGCTGCTCCGAGAAGACAGTAAGGAGCTGAGGGTGCTTACCTCTCAAGGCCTCCGGGTCACCCAGGATCCGGTTCAAGGTCTCAGCAGGAATCTTCTCAAAGGCCTCATTGGTTGGAGCCAAGAGTGTGAACTGGCCATCACCCTCCAGCACGGTATTGAGTCCTGAGGCAGCCACGGCGGCCTGTGTAGAGAATTGAGGATAAACCTTCCTAGGCTCACCTGGCGAGATGCCCACATCCTGGCTATGCCTCCCCTGGGGACTCGAGACACTTAGAGGAATCTCAGGTGAGATAGAAGCCTGGCTGAAGGTCTGTCTCACCATGGACTCCACGGGCCCTGGCCTGTGCTCTAGCAGAGCTGGCCGTCTTTCAAGTGTGGATGATTTCACTCCTCCCTGACTCTGGACCTCTATCCTTGTAGCTCCTCCTGCCTCTCTTCCTCTTTCTTTTCTTCTTGGACTCCTGTTCCTTCAAACCTTGACCGAAATGCCACTCCTCTTGGCACAGGTCCCCAGATGAAAGTCACCCTGACTGTCATGTCTGCCAGCTGTAATCCCACGGTTAGCAGAGAACCCTTATGAATGATTATACAGTGTAGACGTCACGTGCCTCAAGGCTACACAGCCTCTAGAACAATACCCTAACAGCCCAAGGTGCTTTTCATTGCTCCCCGATAGAGAGGCTCCTCCTGGTTAGAAGGCCTGCTTCCTGCAGTAAGCAGAGCTTCTGCAGGGGGGTGGAGCAATGCGGGCTCTTCTTTCAGGCCTCTCAACTCAAAGCATCTTTTCCAAAGAAGTGTTCCCTGGTCATCCCTCCTTGGCTACGCTGGCCATCCTCTTGCACTACACTGGCCGCCATTCTTTTGCTCACTCCCCCAAGCTCATCTTGCTGTCCTGCCTTGCTCAACTCTCATCTGTCTCCCCAGAAAGAATGGTAGCCACTTTGTTCATTCTGACTTCTGGCACCTAGACTTTGGGAGTGACAGGGTTTAAGAAGCGAGTCGGGAGGGAAAAAAATGGGTATTAGGAAGTGCCAAAGCAGAATCAAGAAGAGGAAAATTTTCTCCTATCAATTTCAACTGTAAGGGGAAGTTCCTCAATAGGACTTTGTGCTGAAAATGAAAGTCTGTGCTGTCAGCTTTGGGGTAACATTCCCTTCCAGACCCAGAGAAAGGCAGGGAAAAGCACCTCAAAAGCCAGACTCCCTGGGGGGGGGGGCTGAGCCAGCTAAGAGCACTCCCCAAATGCCAAGGCCCCTCTGTGCCCATGCCCGAGTGTTTGTCTCTGTGTTGGAGATCTCCAGGGTGGGGCTGTTCACTCCCACTTGTGTACTTTGTGGTTAGGAATCAGACAAAACCCTGACAGGGCAGCCTGTGCCCACTTCCTCCTGTGTAGCCAGTGCCAACAGGAACCACTTGACTTTCCAGTCGTTGGACATACGCCTTTGGTCTGAGGACAGTCAGCATCCAGCTACAGAGTCAGAGCCTACACTCCCAAGTCTACACAGACAGCTTCTCTGCTAGGTCTATGTCCCAAGGAAACATGGGTATAAGGACCTGCGATCTTAGAAGCACCGTGCTGGCTGACAAGCCATTGTTATAGTGTTCTTTGTGGGAAGGAACATCAGAAAGGAGGCCCTCACACTACTGGACTTCACAGTTTAGCCCCAAGGCTCATCAGACTGTCTCTGATTGGAGACTGCTGGATTATCCAGAAAAGCCAAGGAAAACTTTATAACGGGCATTTCTCAGGGTCTTCCAGCCTGGTGCTCTTTAGAGTCTTCTCCAGATAACCACACTTGGGACATCCTCATGTCCTTCTGCTGAAGACACCCTGGCAGGCACCTTCCGGGAGGCCATGTATCCCCAGCCTGAGCCTCTATTCAAAAACAGTCCCTTACCCGAAGTGTCTCAAAGGTGTCCTCGATCTCAATGATCTGCTGGATGTTGTTGGTAACGGTGGAAATGACCTTATCAATGAGATGTACCACGCCATTGGTCGCATGGTGGTCGGCCTTCAGCAGCCGGGCACAGTTAACAGTGACAATCTGCCAGAGGAGAAGCAAGGTTGAGCGGGTAAGACAAGAGGTTTCCAGGAGGGGGGACAGAGGGTACACAGCTAGGAGCAGAATGTCTGTACAGAACAGGAGGCAAGGGCTGGCCTATACTTCATCAAATCACAGGACAGAACCCTAGAAAGCAATACCCCAGATGGGCCAGAGTTGGGCTTGCTGTAGCTGGAGGACCGTGCTGGGTAACTGGGGATGCCCCTACCCCGTTGGGATAGTGATGGATCTGGATGTTGGAATTCTGGTACATAGAGGTGAGAGACATGCCATGCTTGAGCTCATCGGTCAGGACCCGTCTGTCCACCATGTGGTAGCGGAGCGCATTGAGCAGTTCAATGTTGACGTTGCTCACCAGGGAGTCCAGCACTTCCTAGAAAGAAAGGACATGGCAGGTAAGAGGCAGCAGCCCTGTGCTCAAGGGAGAAGTCCCTGCCCCAAATGGACCCAGGTCCCTCATCCCTTTTCTATGAAGGAGTCTTCCTTTAGTTAGCATCTGTGGGAGGTTGAGGCCTAGGGAGGCCTGCTTTCGCTTTCCCTGGGGAGGGGGGCACGTTATGGGAAAGAATGTCCAACACAGCAGAAGGTCACTACAGAATTGCACTGTGTGCCCAGGCCTCAGTTGTTCCCAGCAATCCCAGGGGCAGAAGGCTCCTCTCACCGCAGGCAAGGCAGCCCAGGCCTCGTTGCTAGGGGCGAAGATGGTGAAGCTGCCGGGTCCCTCCATCTCAGGCCTCAGCTTTTCGGTGCGGTCTGTGTACAGTTGAGTAGTGGTCGATCCCACGACGCCCATGGTCTCGTACAGATTTGAGAGTGGAAGAGCTGTGGAGGCAGAGGACAGAGGGACAGGCGTGAATCCATCCCAGACACACGCCTGCCTTCAATTCTTTGTCAGGAATGACAGTGGGCACAACTGCTGAGAAAGGTGGGGGAAGCGGGTGGAAACCCAGACATCTGTTGATGGATTTGCTTAAAACTCACACTTAAAACAGCAGGAGTCAAACGCCTCCCCTTGTGGAGCAGCCTGATGGGTAATCTCTAAATATCTAATTGCTTTAAGCAGCAGAGGAGATCGATTTGCTTCTGTACATTTAGATAAAGTGGGTGGAGACAGGTGGGAGATTACAAACCCTTGTAAAGATTTCCTAACAGCTTTGCTAGACCCAAAGAGCTGGGAGTCTTCTAGATCTTTGTGTATTTTCCAGGATCTAACCTCTTAGATGGTAACCTTAAGGGCTTTCAAAGACAGACTCCCTATGTAGCCCCAGGCTGCCTTCAGCTCCTGGTGATCCTCCTGACTCAGCTCCCTGAGAGCTGGGATAACAGACATGGGCCACCATACACAGACTAACGTTTGTATTTAAGTAACCCGAAACTGTCACCTCAGAGTTAAGTCCCCATTCGAGGCCAATGTCCTATCCCACTTTAGTCACCTGTCCTTCTGCTTGGGTCTGCAACACCATTGCCCTGGCAATGGTAACCATGTTGTCATAATCTCAACACTAAATCAAATTGCTTTGTCATTTAAATTTCTGTTCCTATCTGAATCCTAAAACTACCTTGACTTTCAAAGCTAAAACAAAACATAAAGCCTGCTTAACAGTGTGCAGCCCTGAGGTGCTGGTAAAATTCACAGGTATCATGCTGTCTTTGGACCAGTGTGGCCATTTGTGGGTTCTTAGTTGCCTGTGGGTAAGCCCATCTAGCCTGCTGCTCTCTTTGGGCTGTACTCCAGAGGCCAGTGACCACGTTCTCCTGTCTGAGCCCCAGCAGGGCTAAGGGCAACTTGACAGGCTAATAGGCTAGACTTGTTGAGTGCTCTGAGAATCACCAGCAGAAGTGATGACAAGGCCAGAGCCTACAGCTACTGGGAAGAGGCCAGGCAGACTGGCATGGGCTTTTCTCTACTGTTAAATGAGGGTCATGAGTAACATAGGAGAGGGACTCCTCCATCTTCCATCCTCTGCTACCTCATGGCTCCAGTGAGCACATGGGAAGGATAACTCAACCTCATGCTCCCCACCAGGCTGTGACTCTATCCCTTTTCTTCTCTTCCTCCTCCCTCTTTCTTCTTCTTCTTCTCCTTCTCCTTCTTCTTTTTCTTCTTCTTCCTCCTCCTCTTCCTCTTCTTCCTCCTCCTGTTCCTCCTCCTCCTGCTCCTCCTGCTCCTCCTGCTCCTCCTCCTCCTCTTGCTCTTCTATCTCACCCACAGGTAGCACTGGGCTCACTCACCTGCTGGGCAGCCTTTCTCTCCTGGGACCTTTTCATATCCAGGACAGCACTCATAGCTGATGACTCTGTAAAGAGAGACAAGGAGATGTCAGACAGCACTCCACTCTTCCTTTCCAATGCTCTCCCGGCAGAAAGGCCACCAGGCAGACAGAAGGCGGGCATCAGGCATAGCATCCTTCCCCAGGAAGCATGTGCTCCGTCATGACTGTACTGATCAGTGGTCAGCAGCTTCTCACTTCCCAGCCTTGTAGAAGGTTTCTTGATGGTTGCCACCACCACTAGCCAACCGACTGGGAAACCAGGTGGAGGCAGCACCCTCAATAGCACAGTCAGATACTAACTCCCCAGAGCCCATCTCCAATAACCATGCACAGGAAACCCAGTGGATGGTGTTGCAGGAAAGGAACGGGGGTGGGGATGGGAAACTAGAGAGTCCTGTGTGGCTTCCAGCTCTGAGCTTAACTCACCCCTGTGACTACACCCCTTCTCTGGGTCTCCACAACCCCCTATGTAAAATGCTCGCAAGCAGGGCAGAGGCTCTCTCTGTCTCTCTCCTGCTGGTTCAGTCTTTGATTTAAGAACCCGAAAGTCAGAGTATGGGCAATCATTGTGTTCTCTCAGTTTTTACAAATCGGATTTCAAATGAGAACTGATTACCTCTTGATGGAGATACCTGTTTTGCTATTTATTCACATTAAAAACTTACTGAAAACACGTTTATTATTTCAAACTTAAATTATCTTAGTGGTTATTTACAAAGTATTCCCCCCCCATCCTCCCTCATCTTCAACCTTTCCATGGTCCCTCCAGGGGACAGCCAATGCCACCCATCTGTAAGAGCCTCTGAATTTGGGTAAACACAAGATGTGCAGGACCCTTTAAAATCCTTTGTTGAGAAAACTAAAGGTTGTCTGCCCTCCTTCCTCCAAGGAGCCCATCAAGGGACACTGCGTGGACATCACAATACAAGCTTCAGTCAGCCTGGTACACAGTAGAAGCCTCAGAGTCAGGAGTTTCAAATAACATTACAGCAAAAGGGTCCGTGAGCCTGCGCTGAAGGCTGCCCACAGGTGTGCACAGTCCTCCCACCCTCCCCCCTCCCCCAAGGCCTGGAGCCAGATGCAAACAACCCAGTCTCCCCCTTTCTCATACATGAGATTTGCAGTCTTGCTCTTGCTGGGATGACATCATCAGAAAAGAGGCAGGCAGCCGGGGAAGAAATGTGGCCCTGGGGTAGGGGTGCTGAGGAGGCTGGGGGCTGTACAGGAACATGTCTGGGGCTTGTGAATTCTTTTGGAATTGGTTCAGGAAAAACTTAGTTAAGAGTAGATGAAGCTTGGTTCGTCTGTCTGGTACCTAGGGGATGCTGATGCCTCAGGTTCTCAGACCGCCAGGGAAGTACAGGGGTCACATGGCTAGACATGCCCCCCACCACCCAAGATGGAGGAACAACAGGCTTTACAGTCTTCTGTGCTCTGCTTTCTTCACCTGGCTTCCTCATCTGCAGGGTACCTCCTCCCGTCTGCCCCTTCTTATCTCAAACCCCAGAACTTAAAGAACTAAACAGGCTGTGTTGGTCAGGGCTGACACTCACCAACCCACCAGGCAGTAAGATGACCTTACTGTGTCATCATGTCATCTCTGCTGCTGAGGAACCTGCCCAGGCAGAGTGATTAGGAGGTGCAGTCCATCTGAGGAGAGTCACCTTGGGATCCCTCGGTGTCTACAGGGGTACCCCGGGGAACCTACTTCTCTTTGTGGTCTGCGTTTTCTGGCCCACAGAGTAAAACATGACTAAACCAGCTGGTCTATGATTCTCCTTCAGCCTTCCAGTCAACTGAAGGACACCAAAGGGCAAAGAAACATGCTCGAAGGAAAGCAGAGACTGCCAACTGCCACCTCAGCTAAGCCTAGGGAGCTCCCCAAGCCTCAAGCCTAGCCTAGAGCACCCGGACCAACCCTCACTGCCGCTCCATACATACACACACACACACACACACACACACACACACACACACACATACATACACATACACAGGATTCCAGGCTTTCTCTGATAAATACCAAGCCTGGTTGGCAAGATGGCTCAACAGGCACATGCTGTCAAGCCTGACGACCTGAGTTCAATCCTCACGGCTTATATGGAGGAGAGAACAGATGCCCATGGGCTGCCCTCTGATCTCTGCATGAATACTTGCACATGTATAAACAAGCACATGTGTGTGTGTGTGTACACACACATGCATGCACGCACTTGCATGAGCACCTGCACACACAATAAATAAGTAAATAAGTAAACAAATGTAAAAGAAACATTAGCAGGGTCTACGGCTGGAGCTGGGGAGGTGGAATGAGGTAAAAACTTCACACCAATTTCCTCCTTTCCCAAAGTGCCGGAGTGGAGTTCCATGGTGTTACAGACACATTTGGAAAAACTGTCCTGCCCACCAGGTTCTTCCTGGGCTTCTTTGCATACATGGCTGCTTAGTGTTTCCATGGCTTGGAGTTCCCAGCTACACTTCCCAAAGACTTTGCTCCCCTAAATATTAGTTTCTGAGGTCCATTTCCCCCCAAACTAAAGGACAATGGAGCAGCTTAGGTAGCCTCACTGGGATTTCAGTGAAGATGAAAGAAAACTCCCTACAATGTATGTGTAAGTGTGTACATGTGTGTGTATGTGTACATGTATGTACACGTGTGTGTATGTGTACATCATGTATGTATACATGTGTGTATGTGTGTGCATGTGTATGTATGCATAGGAGGACAGAGCCGGGCATGTGGAGAACTGGAAAGCTGGGAGAATGATGAGAAACAGATCCAATCAGAAAAGGCTCAGAAAGACAGAGCAACTTAGCATGGAGTCAGACAGACAGCTGTTGGGGTCTGATGGGCCAAGGAGTCCGTGAGAGCCTAGGTAGGTGGGGCATCCCTAGGACTTTCTCCCAGTCTCATCAAAGACAGTTCTTTGATCACTGCCCTTGACCATTCACACATCTGGAGGAAGCAGACAGATTTGGTGTTGTCTCCTGTATGCTCAAGGCAATGAGTTTCCAGTGGGCTCCCTGTGCCTGGCCCTCACAGGGGCTTGACAGTACCCTCTGTCATGCATGGATGGCTTCTATACCACCCTCACTGCAGACTTCAGTCTCCAGGGCAGTAAACCTTCCCCAGCCAGAGTATTTTTGCTGAGTGACCAAGCATAGCTCTTTGCTGGAAAGCCTTTTCGAATCCTCTTGCTCTGGAGACCTCTCTTAGGTATCTCTCTAGGAGTATAGCTATAGGCCACACCTTCCATTTGAAGGCATCAGCTGAGATGGCTCTGTGGTTGACAGAGCTCCTAGCTAGACAGTGTAACCTTCTTAGAACCAGCCTGCTCCAGCCCAAGGTAACAGAGGACAGTTGAAGATTGCAGACAGAAAAAGCAGCTTCCAGGGACAGTGTTGATGAGGACTTTTTAAGTTACTGGTCTTCACAGTGGGCTCTCCTACCCTTCTTATGCCATGCTCCATTCTACACAGGCTTTCTGGAGAACATACAGGCTTTGAAAGCACAGAACGTAAGTCTGGTACCACCTCGTTAGGACCCAGCAGAGAAGAATAGAATCTAAAGGTACCTCTCCTTGCATGCCTGAAATTATCAAATGCCCCTTCACAGAGAGGACCAGCCTCCTGATTTCTGCAGCTTGTCTCATCAGCTAGATTCTGATTAAAGGCTCCCGGCTTTGGCTTGGCCACACACAGTGCAGGATGTAAAAACCCCAGGCCGGAATAAAGCACACACTCCAAAGGAATGAATTACTAATTACCTTGTTCCCTGAAATGAGGGAAGGTGCCTGATTTACAGAAAGGATGTAAAAAGATAATGTTAACATAAGGTCAAAGTGTGGGGGTGCTGGGATGCTCTTCCCAACATCGATTGGATGTTTTCACCCGGATTGGATGGGGAAAAATTTCACAGACTTCTCAAATTTATTTTCCACTAAGTTAATATAAACTTAAAACGTTAACTCTCCCAATTGCACAGCCCAGGTCTGGCTGCTGTTCTGGCTGAGGCAGGAGGCTAATGAGACTCTGGGAGGAGGCACAGTAAGGAGTGGGGACTGAGCTTAGTCTCCTGAGATAGGGGACTCTCATTGTGTTACGCTGCCTGAGGCAAATCACATACTCACAGCACATAGACATTGGCATGCCCCAGCCTCGAGTGGCTCATTTTCTGCATGCCTTTCCTTGGACAGAGGCTAAGCTGATTTTTGAAATCTTCAGTAGAAAATCAGGGCTTTTCCTAACCAACTATGTGGCATGAGGTAACTTCAGAACATGGGTTTATGGTGTTTTCCCTAGGGATAGGAGTGTATTTTGGTGGCTCCTGCATGCTGGCCATGTCCCCCAGATCCCATGACCATTATCTGACGAGGGTTTCAGGTGCTTAGCATCACACTGTCTTTGCAATGACCACCAGACTTGGAGTAAGCCACCAGGAGGTGATGGTGACTCTGGCCCCCAAGGGTGTCTCTGATTCCAAGATTTGTTTCTAGGACCCTGGCTACAGATCTGGGCTGAAAGGAGAGACCTGGGACAGTCCACCCAGACTGTGGCTTGCTCCCTTGGGTACCAGTGGCATTGTTGGCCCTAACTGCCAGGCATTTCTCCTGGGGGAAAGCACAGAGTGGGCAGACCTCTCCATTTCTCAGTGGCTGACTCTCAGTAGGATGTGCAGCCTTCTAGAGCCTCAATATTACCATCTGCAAATAGCTTAAATAAAAAAAAAACCCGCACTGCTTTGTCAGAGGATGACTATGGGGACTGAACTGGTAAACAAACAGGAAGTACTTCAATGTGGGATGGATACATTCAGTACTCAGTTTGGAACTTCTAAAACAAATGAAGTTCAATTATCATCTAATCTAACAAACATAACTTCATCAAAAGCAAAATTCTAACATGAGACCCCTGATCCAATCCCCTCACGACAGCTATAAACGCAGCTACTAGTTTCCGATGGCTTGCTGTGACAGATTGCCTCAAACTCGGTGGCTTAAAATATTACAAATTTATTGTGTTACAATTCTGAAGGTTTGAGTCAGAAATCGGCCTCATGGGCTTGCTATCAAAGCTGTGTTCCGTTTGGAAGCTGTAAGGATAATCCCCTCCCCACCCTTCAGCTTCTGGCGGCTGCCAGATTCTTCAGCCTGTGGTGGCTTCATCACAGCTTCGGATTTGAGAAGCACACCCCTTTCTCTCTGATTCTAACTCTACTATACCCCCTTTTACAAGGACCCTTAGGATGCTATCAGACTCACCTCAGGTTGACACCTTAGCCACTTCTGTGATATAAGGGTTTCAGACTAGGATATGGGGACTTTTAGGGGATCATTACACCATACATCATGAGCTCATGAATATTCTCCACAGAACCAAGTTCCCCACGAGCTAAGCAGGCTCCTAGTTTACAGAATGGTCTAGAGCTAGAATTTTAGAAAGCGCTGCCTGAAATTTGGTGTATGCTCAGTAATCTTAGCGCAGGTTATGGAGGGGGACGGGTCATACGCTCAGGTGTTGTCTGAGAACAGTGCAGACAACTCTGACCACCTTCTACTGGGACCAAGTGGGATACATGGGAAGGAGGAAACGGGTGGCTTCCATCTTTGTGCTAGAATGAGAGGTAGGCCTTCAAGCTGATGGGGCAGTACCAGCATGCCCCAGCATTTCTTCTAAGCTCCGCTCCACAGTTACCTGGCAACAGCCAGGTATGCCTGACTCACTATAAAAGGGGCGGCTTGCCCCCTCCTTACTCCCTTCTCTCTCTGCCCCTTCTCTCCCCATTCCCCTCCCTCCTCTCTCCACATGTTTATGGACAGCCAGCCCTCTACTTTCATTCTCTCTCTCTCTCTCTCTCTGCCTTTTCCTGTTTCTACTACCTCCTTAACCCCCCTCCCCATGCCCTAAATAAACTCTATTCTATACTATACCTGTCATGCAGCTGGTCCCTCAGGGGGAAGGGATAGCTCAGCATGGGCTCGCAGAGGCACCCCCTTCCCCACACCATACCACGCCTACACCAAATATATTCCTTCCTCTTTTTTCTTTTCTTTTCTATAAAACACAACAGCGCTCAGGAACTCCTGCTATGTAACTGAAGGGCAAAGCAATGCCAGCTGCTGGAGAAACAGGAGTTTCGGGTCAGTTCATCTTGGATCAAGAAAATGGCCTCTCACCTGTGAATCATGTTGCCAGGGGAACAATGTAAAGAGGTTGGGATGGACTGCTATCACACTGTGCTAGCTTCCACACTGGCCCTCTGACTACCTTCAGGATGCTGTAGCTCCAGCCATGGCTGTGACATCTCAGTAATGTCAGCTTCAACATGGATGATGAACAGATCTCCACTTCCCCCGATCCTCCCCTAAGAGGCCTGCAGAGAAGCAGCCTCAAGTTTCTCTCTTAGGTCATACATAAAACTTTACGGTTCCCTACCAAACCAGGGCCTAAAATCACAGAGTGAGCTGCTGTCTCTTGTCATTCACAAGTCTCTTTGTCTGACTAGCTATTGTGTTGCTGGGGTGCTCTACAGCCCTGAAGTAAAAACTGAAGTGACTTTCTAAGTCATCATAGAATTCATTCAACCCACCCAACAGGGTTCCTCTGCCAACAGTGTCCTGCAAGCCACCCAGCAGGGGTCGTCTGCCAACCATGTCCTACAGTAAATCATCAAGACACAGTTTGGTGCTTGGGCGCACAGCACCAGAGTCCTAGATTCTTCTCTCCCTGGGAACACAGAGAGCTACTGTTGGAAGACCCAGTGGCCTCACTGCTAAGGACTATGCTGAGTGTGGCATAGGTTTGTCCCATCTCTCTGGTGATCTCACATGACATGATCTTTACCTCCATGTTTGGTGTTCATCACCTATTTTCAGAATCAAAATTTCCCTCTGGCCTCAGGTCCCTTGAGGACCCACTTGCTCTCATCCCGGTGCATACTTCCGATACAGCTCCCCTGACATCTCCCTGAGAAAATTCCAGAGCCCATGCTGGCTTGTCAAGACAGTCCTCTGCTCCAGCCACCACATGCTAGCCCCAGCCTGCAGCCAACAAGGCACCTCTAGGGACCCAGTCTCCCAGGATAACATTAATTCCAGCACGCCCCCTACCTAGCACTTAACTGTGGTTAGAAGGTGGCTCCCTTGGAGACACCCCCCCCCCCCCCCCCCCCCCCCCCGCACACCGCTGTCCTATGAAGCTTTAGTCCTTAAGGACAAGAGAGATGAACTCCATCTCTTTCCCCTCTTTGCCCCCTGGGTCTCTTCCAAGTCAGTTCCTCCTTCCCGAGGCCAAGGCCACACAGGGTGTTCCATCGGGGATCATAAATTGTTTTATCGACTTGTGTTTTCTTCTGCTTGCTTCCTTTTTTTTTTTTTTTTTTTTTTTTTTGGCTTCCCAGAGCAGTCACTATATTCAGCCTTCAGGAGTTGGATATGAGTATCTTTTCCTCTTAACTTTGTGAGCTCGGTCAAAGTCTGGATGGCCTTAACCTTGACTGACCCTACTACAAACATTCCTCCACCCGAAACCTCATACACCTTCCTCTTCCTGGAGCTGGTGGTGCCCCTCACTCCCCCCCCCAAACACACACGCGGGTGCTCAGTGGGATGGGAGGGCTGTCCTGTTTCCTCACTGTGCTCTTAAAAACCAAACTCAGGTCGGTCAGAGGAGAGGAATTAATCTGCTACTATCTGTCAGCATACACCCCTGCGGCTTGTGCCTCAGCCTGGCACACAGAAGAGAGGCAGATGGAGGAGTCAATAAGTCAACACAGTGCACTGTCAACGTCCTGTGTCTGGGAATGCTCAAGAATGCCATCAAGTCACCATTGAGTCCCTCAGTCAAATGCTATGACATAGGCCCATCTGAAACAGGACAACAAATGCCACCCCGAGGTCAGCTTACTCATGGAAGCTCTGTAAAACCTGAGGCTCTGACATGAAGCTCTGCTGCTTGGCCCCAGCCCATTGGGCATCTTCCAAGAAACAATTACATGGGGCCTGACCTGACTTCGTGTTTAATTAAGCAATTCACGTTTGAGTAGATGATGTATACCTATGAGTATATCCATCAGAACTGGGAGGTGTTGTTTTTGAAAACTCCGTGTCCAGCAAGAATGTTCTATGTAGAATCTGCATAATCTCTCTCTCTCTCTCTCTCTCTTTTTTGTCCTAAACAGCAAAATTTTCTGCTGAGTATCTATCTGTTCACTGAACCTGGGAGGTGTTCCAAGCTCACACAACTTTAGAGGCTGGGCGGTCCATCAGGTAGGAGCTATAGCCATGACTGTGCGGAGACTCCCAGACAGCCGCAGGTCTCACTCCTGTTCTGCTCTCTGAGACCAGGGTCAAGAACTACCTGACAATCCGAGCCACCCACTGTGTGTTCATTTTCATGGGTGTGTTCAGGGAAGAGTGGTTCCCTCCGCTCAGTGGGAGATGGTTACTTGAAAGCCTGAAGAACACAACTTAAAAAAATCTCTCACACTGAGATAAGTTCAGGGAAATCTTCTCATTTTGCAGAAAAGAGGAAGGCCACCTCCCAGCCCCAGGTGGCTCAGGGGTTTTGCCTGACACAGCTTCCCTTTTGCAGCGCTGACATCTGTTGACTGTCAGTGCTAAAGCAGATAAAGATTCCCAGAGTTCGGTTAGAACTCGAATTCAACTGCTTCCACCAGTGAGGGAGCCAGGCAGTGAGGGCAGAGGGCACCCCCCTCCACAAAGAGAGGCACCCCCAAGGCCTACTGTGACCACCAGGCTCTGTGGGTGTGCCCTTCCTTTGTATGTCTGGTCTACATGTGATATTCTGGGTTGTAGTTACAACCCACAGACACCATATTCCTCTTATGAATATTGCTCAATTCACCCTCTATTAGGATAGCAGGGCCTCCTGCTATGCCCATTTTGCACACAAGGCAACTGAGGATACAGAACGATGAACCATCTCCAGTAAGTGGCAGAGCCAGAGTCTGAGCTGGAGTCTGAGCCTGCATCTACTTTGTTATGCGCTTCCTGGTGTGCAAATTCCTAGGCACCCAGACTTTCTGAAGTGTTTACTTTGGCGCTTGCTGAGCAAGGGTGACCTTTGGGATAAGTTCACCAACAGCCTTTCATTCCCAGAATGCTCCTCTGAACACTTGTATCATTTAGTGAGAGTAACACACATGCACACATGTCGTGCACACATGCAACACTCAATACAGCATGCTTCCTGCCACCCCAAACTGTCCTGATCAGCGTTACCAAGTCTTGTCAGCAGCCCTAAAAATCTAAAACAAAGTCAAACAGCTTCTCAAAATGCCATGCCCCCCGCCATTCCCTGACATGTCTGTCCATATGTCTTCTCATCTCCTTAGTCAGTCTGGCCTTTTCTGGAGCTGGCTAGCTCAGGGCAATTGCAGCTAATTCACACACACACACATGCACACATACACACACAAACACACAGAGACACACAAACACACAGTGTGACTTTCTTGGCAACTGGCACACACACACAGTGTGACCTCCTTAGCAACTGGCTCTCTCTCTTACACACAGTATGGCCCCTTGGCAGCTGGCTCACACACATACATACACACACACACATGCACACATGCACACACACACACACACGCACACAGTGTGCCTTCCTCGGTGGATGGAGGTCTTTGGTGGCCACAGATACTCACGTCGACTTGCCGCAGATCTTTCTCTGGTACCACTGCTTGCAGTTGGTGAAGTACTTCTTGTTAGTGCCGATGACCTTCTGCACAGCGCATACATTGGGACTGGAGACAAAAGCGACAGTGTTAGTGTGACGACCAGCATCAGCCCACACCGAGGTCTTGAGAGGGGAGAGACGGCCATTTTGGTGGTTTGGGGTAAACTTTGGCAGGGTCTTTGTACACCCTCCCCATAAAATCTCTTCCTCAGATAAATTCTTCTAGTCTTGTCTCACACGCTTCTCTGGCATGGGCGAGTATTAACTGTAAGTGAAGAGACCTTAAAAGTTTTGGTCCAGGTTACAGGCTAAGAAAATGAGCAAAACCTAAGGGGTGTTGCTGAGACCTGCCAGCTCCTCTATCTGTACCCGCCCTGAGAGGATTAGGCATCCCAGTGTGTGCCAGAGGTCCTGTTGTCAGGAGGGGAGGACTGCCAGCCCTTCTCAGCCAGCTCCGCAGACATGCTCTGCGTGTCTAGACCAGCTGCCTGCCTCCTGGGACAACACACTGGGAGTATCCACCCTGTAAACTAGGGTGCATGGCCAGCTGCTGTCAGGACTGACAGGGAGTGCCCTTCTACTTAACTCCTCATGGCCCATTGCTCAGAGCTGTTTCCCACTTCCCCCAGGACGCTTCCTTCCTTATTCTAACCTGGGGTGCAGGCCTTACTTTGTGCTGGGTACCAAAAAGACCCTATGACTGATATGTCTCCATGTTCCCTCTCTCCAGCTACCCTCAAGAACCATAAAGATAAGAGTTCTTGGTCCGGATAGAGTCAGGCAGAAATAGGCTCCTTAGAAACGGTTGATAACAATTTAGTTTAAAAATATGTTCAATAAGTCTGGAAAAGCAGAAGCAAACACCCTGGGTTTCTGCTGAGAAGGCTTTTCTGGAGTTGGAGAATGCTATTCGAATTTTTTTTTTCTACTGAGCTCAGAATGGTGCTCAGGCCAGGTGATGGTGGGGACTTCTTTGGAGCTCCTGGGGACAGGGAGCTGCCATGCTGTGTGGTGACAAAGGTGGGGCTCTTCCTGAGCAGACAGCAATAGGCTTCAGACTGAGTCATAAGTCAGAAAAGTAAAGAAAACGGACTCAGAGTCCATGTTCACGCAGCTTCGGGTGCATTCAAATGTGGGTGGTTTCTTCAACAGCAATTCTCGACGACACATTAACAGATGCAATGCAGAGGCAGGAGGATTGCGCTGAGTTCAAGTCTTACCTGGGCTACACAGTGAGTTAAAGTTAATCTGGACTAGCTAGCTAGCTAGCAAACTAACTGTGGTCCATAGAACCCTATAAGAAGCCTGGTGTTTGGGGGGATGTCTGGCTACCCTCTCATCATTTGGGCAGTGTCCACAGCTGGGTGGGTGGTTGTTCCTTCTGACCCTTTATCTTTCCCCGTTTCCTTTCCATTCGAAGCATGCGTCTGTTTTCTGTTGTTGTTTAATAGACAACAGTGAGCAGAGAAGGTGAGCTATCAGGAAAGCATCTTGACAGAAGACAACGGGTCAACACTAATCAGCTGACCTTATCTAGATCTCACTGGGTGCTTAGAGGCTCTGCAGCCAGCAATCCACGGGTTTCACCCAAGGTCCTTGAATAACCCCCCCCCAGAGCTCTCTCGGGCCACACCCCAGCCCCCAATCATCCTCACTGCTGTAGGATCCCAGAAGTTCTCCTGTCCAACCAAGCAGGAAGTAATTACTGTGGACAAATTCCCTGCAGCTCGTCATGGGCGGCCGGAGGCTCTTCAGCGAGTCTCTGTGGATTTGGCTCCAGCATTCCTCGCCTGTGTAGTTTCCACTGCTCCTGCCCCTGTGACAGGAGCAGAAGCTGGGGCTGGAGGTAAGCTGTGTCCACAGGAAATCTATGCTGAAATGTACTCAAAATGGGCAGGCCATTCCTGGGCTTCTGCCCCAAGACCGGCAACTCTGCTGTCTTTTCAGACTTGCATCTGAAAACCAAGTACTTCTGAAAGTTCCATCCAGTTTCTCTTGATGCTGTGCAAAAGCGTGGCCGGCTTTCACTTGCTTTGCGTTGGTGCTCCTCCCCCCTCCCATTGTTACACAGACACAACTGGGAGCCAACAGACCACCCAGTAGCCCCTACCCCAGCTACCAGCTTTCTGTGTTTGCATCCTAAGCATCAGTTTCACCCTCTGTAAAATAGGAACTTTGCAGTGGCTGGGGCCAGGGGCATGAGGAGGTGAAGGCAGCAGGGTGATGGATGACTGTCCACTGCTGCCCTGGGGCTAGGGACAGTGTCCGATCCCTCCCTCAGGGGACACCCTGCACTTCCCCAAATTTCTCCTTTCTCCAGCTCTCACTTTGAATAAAGGGCTGGAACTGGAACAAGGTTATCCATCTGCACAAGGTGCCACACCCATGTGCGCAAGGCCAGGCAGTCCCGTGGTTTTTCAGGGACAGTTAGGTCAGAGTAAATGGAACTATGTAACAATGTCTGTAACCATTTGCCATGGCATGTGTGCCCAGGGAATCCAGATTTCCCTTGAAGGGTGCTGCTGTGGTCTTTCTTGTATTTATTTTGCGACGGGGTCTTCTTGAATTGGCCACCCCTTGCCCTCGCCTCAGGAGTAGTTGGGATGAAAGGTATGCATGCATCCCCCTGCTCAGCACACGACATCTCTTGATCAATCAGCCTATCACAGATGACTTATACACGTTTTCCAACTCAGGGCAAGAAGCACAGGGGATACCTCAAAGAAGTGAATGGAAATCACTTGCTCATTTCGTGATTGGTTGGAAGCACTTGCCACAGTGAGCGTCCCACAGCTTTTGAGAGGTTGGTTCATTTATTCCATGTGGGTCATCAGGCTTGGCATCCAGGGCCTTAGCTGACCCACCTCACTAGTCCACATCTGAAGTTTCTTAAAGAGCCAGTTTTCCGGACAATCAGTGTCCTAGACTCTGAATGGAAGGAGGCTGGCCTGGGAGATGGATCTTACAGGATATCTTTAGAGACCTATCCCTGTGGCTGTGGCATTGTGGTTCTGGGTTACAACACTGCAGGGTGACCTGTGACAATCTTAGTGGTTAAGAGGAAGTAGGGACAGAACTGAATTCAACATGCAAAAAAGGTAGTGGGGACCAAAGGTGAACCGGGCAGGGATGAGAGACGCTCTGGTTGTCCATGCTCGGCTTGGAGGTTTCAAATCTGCATTTTCCCATCTGCCTTCTCAACCCTTCATACGCGAAGTCTAAGCTAAAATGACCCCGGGACCGTTTCCACTGCCTGCCTCCTTCCAGGAAGGCGTGAGGTTGAGGAATGGCCTCGGTTGGCTCTGTTCTGCCTGTAGCCAGTCCTGCACCCCACAGCTTGTTTTCCCCTAAGCGCTGAGCACCTGGGAGGCCGTAAGAGACCTGAAAGCCACATGCAGAAGAAAGGTGACTGCTCTCTAAAATTACCATACTTTACCCAAGTTCAGAGCATACCCAATTGCTGGGGACTGCAGCTTTGTCTGGGTCTACAGAGACAACCGTCACTAGCCACGTGGTTTGTTTTTTTCTTTAGAGCTGAGTATAGATCTGCATAGTCTCTTGGAGAGTTGGGCATAGCCTGGGGTGTGAATGCCTGACCACGGGCACCTGGGCCTCCCCGGAAGTCATCACTCCACTTGTTTTTTTATGTAGTTTCCTCTAGGAGAAATGATACGGATGCACCCAGGTAGACTGGATGTGAAGCCAAGCCGGGCTGTGTTTGAAGCAGGCATGTCCTGGTTGTGTGTGGAAACACCATGCCAGGCTCTTCATCAGGGCAGAGCCTTGGGCAGAGTGTGTCTCAGAAAGCCTACACATCTACAGTGTCTCAGAGAAATACCCGAAGCACCAACAAAACTGGCGGTTGCTTTAAGACAGATACCAGTCTTGACTCCATGGTATACTTGCAGGGCAGGCTGGTACCCTTTCAAGACTCAGTTTCCCAATCTGTCTAGCATGTACAAAGGGTGGCAAAGCCTCTCACTCCACAGCTGTGGACAGAAGCACTGTCAGGTACTGAGTATTTGAATGCAGAGCAATACCAAGTGCACAGAAGCAGTGGGCACCTAGGGTCCTGCCACCAAGTACGTCTCACCCCTGAAATCACTGGACAGTGACCTGCCTAGGTTTCTCCTCTATGGTGGGTACCGTCTCAGGATGATGGTGATTCTGCGTTGAAAGCTGCCAACGCCCCCTTCTACCTAGAGTCAAGAAAGGAGCCAGAAAGTCCCCTAGAATGTTTCATGCACTTTCATCTGACTCTGTGGTCACTGGCCAGTGCCCCCAACCCTCTAGCTACAAAGCGTTCAATTGTGTCCCTGCATCTCATCCATCCACAGCCCCTCCCTCCACGCAGGTTTGGTCTCTCTATGCAATCGCTGATTTCCCCTCGGGCTTTGTCCCCCACACTCCTGGCCAGGTATGATGTCCCCAGATGAGCACACTGGCAGCTTAGCGACCTGTCCTGTGCTTGCACCTCCCACTACAGAGCGGCTGGGACTTACCCGTGCTGGCGGCCCCGGAGCCGGCTATGCTGCAGCACCAGCTGGTAGGGTGACTTGGAGGGGCCCGCCAGGGTTCCGGCGGGGCCCAGAGACAGTGCCAGAGCGAGGGTCAGCAGCCGCACGAGGAGTGCCATGGAGCTGGAGCACGCGCGGACTCACGATGAAAGCAGTCGCGGCGGGCGGGCGGCGCTGGCGAAGTGAGAGCGGCCAGGCAGCGCGCTGGGTTTAGTAGCCCGAGGGAGGGAGCAGCTGAGGGAGGGGAAGGGCAGCCGGCGCCTCCCAGACCAAGCCACTACTAAGCACCCGCGCCCTCCTGCACCGCCCAGCTCACACACACCCTCCCACTTCGCACAAAGTGCGGGTCCAAAGGAGAGCGTCCTCAAGTTTCACTTTCTTAAGGTGTTCACGCTTGGAGCCCAAAGATACCTCCCTGCCAGACTGCAGGAAGCCAGAGGGTCCGTGCTGACTCCCACCAGCTTAGGCCTGTCAGACTGGCCTCTGCAGTCCAGGTGCAGCAGCCCTCCTGTTACACTGTAGACCAGGAGCAAATCTTCCTGTTGACAGAAGGTAGAAAAGTGGGGTAGGGTGGGGCTCACACCTTGACATTCAGGAACCCCTCACCTGGTTTCTGTAAAGATCTGTGAATGCCAGGTAGATCCTGCAAAGAGACAGATCAGCTAAGAACGGCCCCGGATGAGCTCAAAATATGCCAATGGTCACCTGGTAGGGAGGTGAGTGTTCACCTTAGCATCTACTAATCACCCTCCCCTCACCTGATTCTACTAGCCCTAGGGATGAGCTCCCAATACTGGAAGAACATGGGCCTAGCAAAGAAGATGCCTTGGAGAGAGGTAGCTGGGGCCTTAAGAGTCTGGAGTAGGCTCCTGGCCCAGACAGTCTGGTAGCGGCTGCTTTTAGATCTGAAGTCTGAACAGGATTTAGCCAGGCAAGAGGAGCATGGGTTGAGAGTACCCAAGCTATCCAGTTAACCAAAATATGCTTGGTGGAGAATAGGGCAGAAGACAGCAGTGTGTCGGGGCTCCAAGCTAAGAATCCTGCCAGTGTTAGGGAAACAAACAAATGGTACAGTTGGTGTTCTGAGCAGGCAGCAGGAGGGATGAGTGAGCAGGAGGGGACTACGCAGGAACTTGAGCAACTGCCTTGGAAGTGGAGAAGGGATGGAGGTGTGTCTAGAAGACAGCATTCTCAAGGGAACAGACAAGCTGGTTCACCTTGATAACCCACAGGCTTGGGCTGACAAATGCCCAGGGGCACCAGTGCACCTCAGCTCTGAATGATGTTTCCGGAAAAACAGTAGCCAAGAGGTAAAGACCTGTCTTCAATGGTGGTGACATCATGCCATGAGATGGGGTCATGGGTTGAATAAACGTGGGGGGAGGGGAGAGAATAAAGTGAGCGTGAATATCCCCACGACTGGTGACCCAGAGAAATGTGAGGAAGCAGCCCCTGCTAACCTGCCTTCCTCGTCACACAGACTGTGTCCTCTGAACTGTGAGCTGAGACAAGTCTTCCTCTGTGAATTGCTTGTTGTCAAGCCTTGTCCCGGCAGTGAGAAAAGCCACTAATACACCAGGTGCTGGGGAACAAAGAAGCATCGAAGATGCATAAGGTGTTTGAAGTCTGGACACCGTGGTGGCTGCTGCTGCTGTTTTTCATAAGGAGGGCATGGAGATGGGTGTCCTTTGCCAGGGAAGGATGAGTAGCTTGGGACCTGATGAGTTTGAGGTACACATGATTCATCTCAGTGGAATGTCCACAGGCAGCCCAATCCAGGGCTCGAGGGAGGGATAAAAGGTGGAGATTCAGACCTGGAAGCCGTTCTTTAATAAGGGGACATGGAGTGAAGAGGTATTCAATGATTTGCTGGAGGGGAGGCACGAGCAGAGGGAGGTCTCTCAACGGATGCTGATAACCGAGTGGGTGGAGACGGGAGATGCAGTGAGAGGAAGGAAGACTTGATGGAGGAACAGAGAGAAAGACTGCGCACAGAACACATCTAAACAACGTCTGCTCTGCTAGAAAGCAAGCCCCGTCCCTGAGTCCGACGAGTGCCTGGTCTGGGATGCTGGAAAACACCCGGAGAAAGTCAAGTGCAGGCCTGATCCCAGAAAGGCTCCCCCGAGGCCAGAAGAAGCGTCTGTGTTAACTTGGGGAAGCGTCTGGGAGGCACACTTTCCACCTTCCAGTCCAGCACCCCCATCTCCTGAGAGATGGAGGGGGGTCTGAGCGAGGCCAGTCAGTGATCTCACCCATCCTCACTCCCCTCTCCATAAAACTAACATTCGATGAGTTGAGTTTTTCCATGAGCTCAGGAAGGAGATCACAGTAATGCTTCAGTTACTGTTTAGATATTTTTAAAAATTCCACCACAAGCTCCTCACTGCCCCAAACCATAAAAGGCAGTAATGTAAACATACCCCCCATGGTAGTAGCTGCTGCTTCAAAGACAGTGATGTTGCTGGCTGGGGAGGCCCTCCAGCCCTGTGACCTGGACCCACCAGGGCAGAACACAGACCTTTCATTTGAGGATTCTTTCCCCCCCTTTTTTCTTTCCATGTTAGAAAATCTAAACAAAAGAAAATGGGGCTGGTTTGGAACAATAATTACAAGCCCTTTACCAGGTACCTGAAAAATGGCTGCTTTGTGTTTCGTAGCACAATCAACCTCACCAAGAGCTATTTGAAAACAACTCCAGGCTGTGCAGACTGTGGCCCTTCAGCGGCAAAAGACGTGCCAGTGTTTCCAGTGAGCTGTTTGCATGGGATCCTGTGTTTGTGGACCAGAGCATAGGCAGCAGGCCAGCTCGGGCTGTGCTCCTCCTACCCCCGAGTTCCTGGTGATGCCTGAGCATCGAGGGAAATGGTCAAAGCTTTTCCAGAGGACATTCAGCCCCTCCAGCCTGCCCCATGTGCAACCTAGAAGGAACAGGAAGGCATGCTTGGCACGAGATTCCCAAGTTAAAGGAGCATGTTTCCTTTGTCATGCAGTGCAGTGTTCCCGTTCATGTGAGGCACATAGGCAAGAAGCAGCAGCCCTGTTTGCTGCAGTTACGGGCTGACAACGGATCTGGGTGGGAGCTGACTCTCCAGAGCTCTCCCACAGCCTTGCCACTACAGATGTGACTTTCGGAAAGCAGCGCGCACACCACATAATGCCTTAGAAATGTGGCCCTCTGCAGAGCCAGAGTCAGGCTCCACATTTTGACAGGGTCCCTTAGTGATGTTCTCTAGAAGCCTGGACCTCTGGGCTAATGTCAGCTGGGTAACCTTCAGGTGAGGGTAAGGTATGAGTCAAATGATTGACCCAAAAGGAATATACTGGAATATTTACCCCAGGAAATCTCAACTCATGTTGAGGCTAGCTCCCAACGTGGATGACCATCAAGGCGACCCCCAAGTGGCTTTTCCTCTGGGTTTTCTTGTTGATAGTGACCCCTACACACTGAACAGGGACAAAAAATTGGGCTCAAGTCATCTTCTGCCTTCCACCCCATCCAAGGCTCCATGGGAGGCTAGAACAGACCAAGATTTGTGACAGTTGGATCTCAAGACAAAGCCACAGCTTTGGACTTCCCAGCTGATGGGAACAGCAGCTGTCACAGCCCAGAAGCAGCACTAGGCTTCCAGATTTTGCCCCAAATAGCACAAGGCTCCAGGTTTGTACTGCTCAATGGCTTGCTGTTTTCCTGTCTCCAAACACTGGCTTTCTTCATGAGAGTTTCCCAAATGCTACTTACTGGTTAGAACCCAAATTTGTTTTCCAGAGAAATTGATTTTTCATAAGAGAGCTTCATTGATTTGGCTCAGCTGAAATCTCGGAGAAGAACCCAGGGCATTCTTGGGGTTGCTTTAACTGCCTAACCTCAAATACCTCTGCAGAGTGATGCCCAAGGACGGTGGTTGGCTGGCTTGTGGGATCAGGCTTAACCACATCATTCTGCTGCTTCCCTGGATGGGTATTTTTTTCTCCAAGGCGGGCAAGGGCCCAGAGAGTGTACAGTACCAGGTGGCTGTGCTTCTGAAGTCAGGAACTCACACAGCTCTCTGGCCCACACAGCTTTTTGACATCTTTGCTGACGGCACCATTCAAGGTTGGACACCCTGCATACGGGTTTGCCTCTCCTCTCCTTCTGACTCCCATATGCCCTCCGTTACCAACACAAACATTCTTCCAAATCTTCCTTCAACGTTTCTTATCCCCCTCTAACCCTTGTACACCCGAATTTCTGTTGCTCCTCTTATCGACCCACAGACAGCTCCAGAACACCTCTCCTACCCTAGTCCTTCATCCATCTTTCCCGGTATCTCCTGTCTATCCCAACCCACCAAACCCACCTCTCCTAGACATTCCTGACAGCTACTATGGAAGGAAGTTTATGGAAGAAAATCCAGACTGCTCTGTTGATTTTTTTTTTTTGCTTTCAATGTACAAAGAAAGAAACTCAGATTTATTATAGAAAGGCTTGGCAAATATGGGAAAAAAGACTAGACAGGTGGAGAATCCATCCGTGGCACCTATAGCAAAAGACCTTATAGCACATGTCCCTACTTTTATGTACCTGACACCCGAGTCCCCTTCAGAATTACTCCCTTTACTTCCCTAATCAGCTTGCCCATGTACACCATGGGCAGCAGCTCCTGTAGGGCACACCTCCTTGTCTCCCCTCCTCACACAGCCTCACAGCCCAGCAGCTCCCCCATGCTCCTCTTTGCCTTGTGCACACATATTGACACTTCCATAACCAACAGTTCCCTTTAACAAGTTTTGCTCAGGCAAATTACTTAACTTTTCCTGGGCTGGGGCCTTTCATCTGGATCCCTTTCCTGGAGGGTGAGAGTCTGTCTTGACAGGCACCCTGTGTGTTTATCCGGTAGTCCCTTTACATACCTCATCATAAGACACCATGGAAACAACTTGATATTTGTAGTCCTCTGGTGGGCTGCCCTGCTGAGTTTTGAATGGCCTTATCTAAATCATTTTCGGTGCATTCTTGATTTTACCAATTCAGAGGTCTAGGCTAGAGAGAGACTTCTTGAGGAGAGGCCGCTAGGGATGTCTAGGACTACACAGTCTTGTGTGGCGTCTGGTCAGGCTACAACTCGGAAGGGCTCAAAGGAACATTATCCTGCACCTACTGAAAATATCCCATACAATCATGAAGGTGTGAGAGTCCCAGCAGGT